ATGTTTAGTATTTCACAGCTGCATAATCCGAATTACCACAAACGGCGATTTTTGTCTTATTAACAAAATTTATTTTTTAGAATTTATTTATGTCGGGAAGAAGCAGAGAGCTCTGGATGCTCTATATGATGTTATCAAAAGTAGAAAACATCGAACTTGGCAAAAAATCCATGAGCCTATTATGATGAAATATCTCCAGCTATGTGTTGATTTAAAGAAGAGCCATATTGCTAAAGAAGGTTTATTTCAGTACAGAAATATTTGTCAACAGGTAAATTTATTTAAGCCATGTTTCTAAATAATTGATTTGGAATTATAAAATTTATCATACATAGATTCAACTTTTACTTTCTTGGCTGTTACATATACACAACAGGAAAGTTTTGGAGGTTTTTTTTTCCAAATCACATTTTGAAACCCACTGAAACAAAAAATGTCAAAAAAAAAAAAAAAAAATTCCATGGATACTGGTATATAAAGGACATTGACGCTATTAAATTTTGGTGGTTAAAGGTCTAGGCAATGGGAAGATAGAAGTCATGTCATATCTAAGAAGGGTTGGAAATAATTATGAAGATTTTACTCATTATTAACATTTACAATTTTCTGTAAAACTCATCACTACCCTCAAAACTAAGGTTTTTCCATATTATAATAATAATATAAAAGTTTTATTATAACAAAACCTCATAACATTCAGGAAAATTGTTCAACTCATTGCTGGATTTTCTTATTTTTACTGTTTTTTAATACAACTCTAATATTTTACAATGAATGTATATAATTTGATATTTTGTTCTACAATTATCAGTAAAATGTTTTTTAATTTGTTGTTTGTTTGTAGCAGTATATTTAGTTTGGGGATAATTTTTTAATTCCATCAAATAAAAATTATTATTATTATATATATATACTTTCAGTTTTAATTAAGTAAAACTTTTTATATTTTAAAACTGTGATGCTCAAACTATTGCCCTGGGCCAAATCTGGCCCATAAACATATTTGACACATCACTTATAAATGATAGAAATAGGCCTACTTTTTGTATATATGGAATATACAAAATATTTGTGGCTTTCCTCCTTTGACTTATGTGCAATTTAGCCTGCCAATTAAAAAGTTTGGGCACCACTGTCTTAAAATATTGACATTGTAAATGGAATTTAATGGAAAACATAGTATGTATTTGTTACTATACTAGTAGTTAGATAACCATAATCTGTAAATTCATATATAATTATTTTGTAAGATGTTTGTTTAAATTTTATATATTCTTAACTGAATGCTAGTGTTAACTTTGTTTTTTTTTTTCAATCTATTTGTTAAATATACAGTAGATAAAAATAATTTTCTGTAAAGATTCAAATTTTAAATCTTAAATCTTTAAAATTAATATTTTAAAGATTTACCGAATGATGAAGACCGAAAGTACGGTCGAAAACGTTTGTTTACTATTAAATTGTTTACTACTGGACGTTTAAAGGTTTTGGAGTGTTAATTTATATGCTTTCCAGTATTCATGTAAGAAGATTTTAAGTTTAATATTTTATATTTAATCAAATTTATTGAAAATAAAATGCTTTGTTAATTTATTTTATTATACACATTTAATATTGAATAAATAATGTGGATATTGAGATCTAAATGAGTTTTCTTAAAAATTTAAAGTGACTAATTTAATTATCAAGTAACTAATTGATAATTAAATTAGAAAACTTTTTGATTTTGCTTACAATTTACATATCTAATATATAAAAATATAAGCATATTATGTAATCAAAAGTGCAATTTTATTATTTGAAATTTTGATTAAGAGTAATAGTAATTAATTATTATGATTTAGGACAATTTTACTGAATTTTAACCTTTCTTTTCACAATTATATTTGCATTTTCTTAATAATTAAAATAAATTAATGATACTTTAATTATTACATCAAAATTAAAGTTTCTTACTTAAATAATTACATTATAACTGATTATTACAAGTATAAATGGAATGACTCAAAGTTTTTTCTATACTTAAAATAAAAGGAAGAAAATAGCTTTTCAGAGTTTAATATGCCAAGTATCTGAAAGAGATAATATTAACTTATAATTTATTCCTGTTTAATTGATTTTTTATGCTGATATTTATATATAATAGATAAAAATATTTTATAAAATATATATTTGAATTTTGCAGTTAAGAAGGTAATAAACTTATAATGATTGAAGTTTTTTTATACTTGTATAATATCATTTTTTTTTTGTTATGTTGTTGTTGTTGTTATTATTATTATATCAACTATATTTAATTTTTTTCTGGAAGATATATTATCTCTTATCTATTTAATTTTTAGAGTAAATCAAGTTTTTAAATATACGGAGAAAAATATTTTGGCAAAATATTAATTAAGGTTGTGTAAAACTTTTAAATTTCTACCAGTATTAATCATAGTTATGTTATGTTATTTAAGAGTTCAAAAATTTCACATTTTATAACGTTTATTGTTATTAGAATGTTTTATGTAAATATTTTATATCAATATAAAAAATAAATTCTTTAATATATTATCATTATTTATAAAACAATAATCATTCCATAATTACAAATGCAACAATTTGTTTTTTATTTGTATCACACAAGTCTTTTTAAATAGCTTATTAATCTACTAAAAGATACTTCAATATGAAAGTCTAAAGAGTGTTAAGCTAATTGTTATTGATTTTAATTATTTTTATTAAATTACTATTTAAATTTATCATTCTTGAAATAAGTTTTATTATTTTTTTGGATATATGTACTTTTTTCTTTTTTAACTAAATTTATTATTTGAAAAAATGAAATAGAATTGATTCATAATATAAATTATATAAAATGTAACATTTAAAATTTGAAGGAATTAGATGTTTAATGTTTTTTCTTTTATTTTAAGAAATACTTAGAATTATGTAAAATCAAATTAATATAATGTATTCATTATTGCTTATAAGAAAAATTTAATACAGTAGCATTCCAATTATCCAAAATAATATGAAAATGATAGTACCTCAGATAATTAAAAACTCTGATAATATGGAATATTTGGAACAAAATGATTATTTTTATATTTTGTTCATATTTTGTTTTTATTGTTATAAAATCAAAATTTTATGACTTAAAATTAAAATTTTAAATTAAAATTAAAATTAAAATTTCTGTAATCTTTTTTAAAATTCATATTGTCATGAGAAATAGTCAGAATAAGTTATTTTTAAAACTTCTAGAGCTTCTTTTGAGTATTGCACATCACTAAGCCAAGATTGATGTAACAAACTAGACTGTTATTACATTCTCTTGTCTTTATGGATAAAGTACACTTCCACAATTTATCTTTGATAATGCAAAGTCTCATTTAAACAGGTCTGGGTTAATTGGTATTCTACTGTATTGTTAATTGGTGTTTTATGTAAACTTATTGAATCTGTAAGCTAGAACTAATGTATAACATAGAAAATTCACACCTTTCTCATTTACCAGCAGTAACTGTTTAATAAACAGATGCTTTTGGTCACATTCAGGGGCCTGCATCATGTTAAGCTTGTATGAAATAATGACATTTCAAATTCGCTATAGACATTTGATTTTGCATAAGTTTAACTGGATGCAGGATCCTAAATGCAGCTGAAAACATTTATTATTAAACAATTACTACTGGAAACTGTGAGAAAGGTGTAAATTTTCCGTTATTCTATGTAAAAATATAAGTGAAAGGTAACATTTAATACAATCGACTCTTGATAACTTGAAGTGAAAGGGACAGAAAAATTTTTGAGTTATGAAAACTACTATTATTTTAGTGAGATTTTAAATATCATAATACAATTAATACAGTTAAACATAAATACAACAGTAAAACATAATACATTGTATTCTAAAATGTATGTTTTACTGTATTACAAATAATACAGTAAAACATAATACATTGTATTCTATTAATTTTTAGGTACATATAAACACAAAATAACAAAACATTGACACTATTAATGGAAAAAGTCTGTTAAATGAGTTTATTGTTGACAATTTATTGCTTCTTGCTCAACAATGTTTTTGATGCAGTTTAACACACAAAAAGCTTCTGATGTAGTTTCTTGAAAGATCCTTAAAAGATTCAGAGCTTTTCTGACTTCCAGGGAAGCAGAATAACTAGCCTTTATCACTTNTTTTTTTTTTTTTTTTATTTTTTTGTTTTTAGAAGCCATGATTTGCACAACACTTGAATAAATGTAAATACCCTGCACTGAGGTGATGTACGTAATAAACAAGGGATCAAGCCAAATCCCAACAGGACCTCTGTACTTCAGATATACTAATAATATATTCTAATAATACTAATATAAAAATAGCAGATTGTCATTGGCAACAGCAAAAGAGTGGAAACATCATTTGCACTTGTTCACAGAAAGACCGTTGTTTGCGTCACGTAACTGCCAAACAGAAAGTCCATTGTTCGCAGCCCCTCCATTGCTCAAGTCACGTAATGGTCAACCAGAATGTCTTCTGTTTGCAGTGTCTGTTATACGAGTCACCACTGTACTATATATTGTAATGGGTCTTAATAACAATCTAGAAAGTTCTTGTTTGAATGTACAGTAGAGCATTGATTATCCAAATGTCAATCAACCAAAATGTCAATTAATTGAAAGCTTTCCAGTCAGCAAATTTAAATTTCCTCTAGTTCTGTGGTGCTGCAATCTTTGGCTATGTCTTGGGCTACTCCAATATTATTTTTGTTGGTGTGCGTGTTTTAGCTGGCAGCATTGGCATGACCATGAGAGGGTACTTAAGGATGTGCCAGGATTTGAATGAATTTCAGCATGGGATAGGTTAATATATTTTTTTGTACATAATCGGTTATCTGAAAAATCAATTTTCCGAACAACCCCAGTCCCCAATTGATTACGTCTATAAATTATTTTTAGATTCCTATTTCTGGCAACTTTCTTAATAATTTTATTTAGAGATGGATGATAATTAATCACAATTCTTTCCCTTAGTTCAGTTGCTCTTTGTTGCCGGTTCCGTTTTTGCATCCTTGTTATCATTGCATCGATTGCCTTTCTTCCGTATCCCTGTTGATCAGCTATGCTCCGTATATACTCCAATTCTTTATAAGTGTCATATATGCTGGTACAATGTGTGTAAGCCTTTTTTATTTGCTAGCATCAAAAATGCTATTAAATACCATAAGCACGTTTTGGAATTAACTGATTTGATTTGCCATACATCATTCTTCGAATTTGAAGGAAAAACATATCTGCAAGGATGGGGCGTACCAATGGGTAGCCCAATGTCAGCTGTTCTTTGTGAGTTGGTGCTAAGAAAGCTAGAAAGTAATATCTTACCCTCTTTCCAGAATGATATAATAGTATATGCAAGGTATGTAGATGATATCTTCGTTTTGAGGAAAAATAATAGAAATACACACCGTTTTATAAGCTTAATCAACAATAACCCTTATGGTCTAACAATAGAACTAGACCAGGAGAGTAAAAATAGTGTTAATTTCTTAGATTTAACAATTACATGCAAAGAGGGTGAGATCAAAACAAATATTTACCGTAAGCCAGTTTATCAACCAATCATCATACCTAAGAATTCCTCAGATCCAGAACATATCAAATTGGCAGCATTTCGTTCATGGATTACAAGGGCTTACACACATTGTACCAGCATATATGACACTCATAAGGAATTGGAGTATATACGGAGCATAGCTGAGCAACAGGGATA